ACAGATATAGCTGGGGCGGAAGAGGTGCTCTTTATGTTTAAAAAGGAACAAAAAAGGGAGGAGTTAAGAGTTTTTTCCAGACCCTTTTCATTAGTAGCACATTCTTTCACAAAGCTAAAATACCACAGCAGAAGTCATGTCCAGAAACAGAATACAGTTGCATTTTGATAAACATCTGGTATGACTTAAGACATTTTTGCCAATGCAGAGATGCACAGGGTCCCCCATGCATTTTTCATGCAGCAGGTTATCACAATTTTAAATAAAACATTTTTATACATTCTTTCAGACTTGCAACTGTATACATACATGCAAAAGTTTTTAAACTTATGTGATCATATTTACACTTAATACATGAAATATACATAACAAAAGATTAAAATGTTTTATTCTTTTGCATTAGATAGAATACAAAATATGTACTTTTGTTAAAGAAACCACTATTTACATCACTTTTTTTAAAAACCAATTCCAACATGTGTAACAAGTCTATATATTTACATATATATATATATGTGTGTGTGTGTATATATAAAATATATAATTTACCAATTTATTCAACTAAGATGCAGCAGAGAATAAACTGGTAATATTTTGCTGTCATTGACAACAGTTTTATCACATTTTAACTGATGTTGGGGGAAATTAAATCATTTATTTTGAAAAAAATGTTAAACACTTTATAATCTATTTTTAAAAATATATAGCTTAAGAAGTAAACACATGGCTGATTTCCCTTTCAAGCTTTTGTGTTCTATCTTCCAAAGATGAATTGCTCGTACTTTGCTAGCAAAGTACAGTGCCATTCCCCCCCCCAAGTATTCACTTGTCTTTGCTTTTATAGAATGGCAAACAAACAATATAGAAATGTTATGTTCCACTCCCAGTTCTGTATTATTCCTTTCTAAAATTTACAATGGAAAACTAATGCTTGTTATTGTTGCTCTCTCAATCTTCAATTCCTTTAATTCTTTCAACTATATTTTCCATCATAGCTCTTTCTCTATCTCTGTGATGGCAGCAGGTTAATCTGATTAAATCTGGATCTGCCCAGTCATGTACAAAACAGGAACCTGAAGTCCAGTTTGAACACACACACCCGGCAGCTTACCTCCCAGCAGTCCATTGCATGATCTCCTTTTTCTTCTTCTCCTGGCTCAAATACTGGAAATGAACTAGCTGAGAAAAAAGCATCTAGGGAAAGGGACTTCAGGGAGTTAATGTCTTCGGCATTTTTCAGGTGTATACTTTTTTGTTCAAATTGGATCCATCCCCTATGGAACTGGAGAAGGTCCAGATTTAAACACACAGATGTACACCACTGCAATGTCATTTGAGCCTGTATCATGTTTTATCTTGATAATTTTCCTTGGTGATGTAGATGTGTAATTTGTACTCTGAAGTACCTAACATGGTTACAAGCACAGCATGGCTTTGCCTACCTAAGTTTGTTGAACTGTTTTTTCCAGTTAAGTGGCTCAAGTGCAGTTTGTTATAGGAAATAAGACCACGGATAAGTACCATGAAAGTTCCATAGATGAATGATGAAAAATCAGTGTTTCAGCCAAGTTTTTTTGCCAATTTAGATTCTTTTTTGGGGGAGGGGATTTGTCTTCAAAGATTGTTTCAAGAAAAAAACCTTTGAAGACAACTGTCACAGATGGAACAAATATCCCCTTTGTGTAAAGCTTATCTGAGGCAAATAAGAATTCAAATTATTAAACAATGATATAAAATGTAACTAGTAAGTTGGATCCAAGGATTCCTTTCGTTAATGGAAAGAGTCCTTCAATCCACCATATTGGTTTGGATCCAGCAGAAAAGCTGATGAAATATGTTTTCGGGTCTTTCTCCATGGTGTCCTTATAGCCTGCTCTTTGTTCGGAATATTCTTAAGAGGACTGGGAAAGGATTACAAAGATCATAGTACAGTCCACTATAATTATCAGGGAAAATAGGGGAAATAGCTTCCTCTTCCCTCTTCTGCTGGCTGCTTGTGTCAATGGGAAAAAAGGCTGTTATCTGAATGCCCCTCATCACTGAACCAGCCCTGTACTTTCTTTGTGAGGTTCTCCTGACCCTCATTGAGGATTTTCAGGACAAACACCAATGTGTTTGAGGAAGATAAGGAAATATCTATTCTGCCAGTACATTCTGCAAACTTTTTCACTGGATCCAACCCATTATCACTAATAATTTACATGAGTGATTTGAGTTCTCACTAACATAGCTAATGCCTTCTGATTCAGAATGTTTATCCTCTTATATATTAAGCTTTATTCACTCAGACATCACGTGAGTGCTTTCATCATAGTTAAAAGTCTTTGCACTCAATGAGATAGATACTTGAATTCTGTCTCCTCAAACACAGATTCCCACCCATCCTCCAGCTAAAGACAATGAAACTCCAAAGAGGTTATAGTAGCATTTGTGAGTATGGTGGATATCTTTAAAAGAAACACAAGAAATGATCCAGAAAAATAAGAGTTGCCAGAAATTTCATTTCTACCATTAAAGGAAATTTGTAATAAACAAAAACCCAATTTTACTAATTGAGATTGTGAAACAGAAAGCCAAAATTTAAAGTATGTTACTCAGGCAAATTATGTCTAGGAGAACTGAAGGAGAGAAAAATGATCTTGGTAATCTTAGCAGTGATGAAGCCAAAGTCCATAATTTCTAGGCACAAAATATAAACTATGGGCCCATTTTTTTCCTGATTTACACCTGAATACAAACTTCAGAAGAGCTCATCCCTTGTGTCATTTCCTCACTTTTTGCAGCAGCAGGAGCTGCTTCTCTAAAGTAGAAATAAGGAAGAAGTTCTGCCTCTACTCCCATATTTCGGCCACTGGAGCAAGGAGGAAGAATGCAAGACGAGACCACTAGGGCAAAGCTAACCAATCTCGGTGGTACCTTGATTTTCTGCTGTGGCAGTGTGCACCACTTACCATTACTACGCTAAGGCAGGGGAATGGGGAAGGGAGAGGCTCAATGTCCATGTTGCCTCAGTTGTTACAGGCTCCAAAAAAGAAGATGCAAGATATAAGAGCGTTTAAATGAAGGTATGTTGCAAATCATTGGAGAACTCTTGGGAAAGGGCTACTTTCTCCTGAGAGTTCTACATTGTTGCTGGCCATTTTCCAATTTGAGCTTAGATAACTTTGCCCATCACTCGGTGTTACTGAGATTTTTGGAAGGCTGTTCATATATCAATTGTAAACAAGTAATCAATGAAGTAAAAACTAACTCTCAAATTGGGAACTGTTTGCTATTTGGCTTCAACAGTAACTCTATTCCTAAACTTAAATTTTGAGAGTACTATAAAGTGTGTGAGTGTTACACTGTGTACTGTTTAGTGTGTGCATGTTATCTAAGTGTGTGGACTGTGTATGCATGCGTGTGAGGATGGGAGGGATCATATCTAGTCTATTATCTACACTGAAGTAGATTTTGATTTTTATCCATGCATTACGATTCAACAAAGCTGTCATTCAACTCTTCCAATTTACAAAAATATGTTAATACCAGGATACTAATTTTTAAAGGCTAGTAAATTTTTCATAGGTTTGTTCACGGACAAATTGATATTAATCCATGTACTGCCTTTGTACGAAAAAAGAAGAAATACCAGCAACATAAAATGTTCCATATTTTAGTGTGCTCATGTTATACAAAAAGCATGAATGAAGGGAAGAGACCATTATCATGTATTATATGTTATGTTTTCTTTCATAAACAAAAATTCCAACTGCCTTCACCATGTTCCAGGTGCTGACTACTGACATTTGACTTAGTATTAAATGAAGGGGAAAAAGTGAAAGTGAATAAGAGACTGTTACTTCCAGCATAGTTAAAATACTGTTTTATAAAAAGCGTAAAAGCCATAATCCAAATCATATACAATTACCAGCCAAGTGTCTAGGAAGGCATTTTCCAAATGTAATTACCAAAAATATGTACTGTACTTTTTTGTGATTCTCCCAGATATTAAAAAAAAAGCAATTTGGAAGCACTAAAAGATTCATTTTGTGCATTTCTCTAGCTAACACTGATTAGGATCACGAACATGTGAACTAATGCCTTGGTCTAAGTGTTGCATTTATTTTTTAAAAGAACATTTCATAAATATATTAAAACACACAAAATGATATTTTCTCAGTGCTGAAAATTTCAAAAGGGGAAATACAGAGCAGCATGAAATGGTGGAAAATACTCTGTCACCGGTGTAGGCTGTATGTTACATGGCATTGCATGTATGATACCAATGGCCTCCTTACATACATTTTCCAGTGTAGTTGCTGCTGCATCTGTGGCTGCTTGTACACTGGTTTAGCTATGTGTGAAGATATCCATGTACATTACAGCTTGCTGCCATGTTTACAAACCAAGCAAATGATGCTTCGATTGCTTAAGAGGCCCATGGTCTCTCATTTAGTTACTTCATGTATACCCTGCTTTTCTCCCACATGGGGACCAAAAGTGACTTACAACAGTCTTCCCTTCTCAGTTTTATCCTCACAACAACCCTGAGAGGTAGATTAGGCTGAAAGTATGTGACTGGCCCAAAGTCACCCAGCAACATTCCATGAGACAGTGAGGATACGAATCTGGATCTCCCAGATCCCAGCCTGATTCTTTAACCACTACACCACTTCCATGGTGTGGAAACAGGAAGCTAAACCACATGGTTCAAAACGTTTTCACACAGTCAAACCAGTGTAAAAGGGCTATGGAAGCAGGAAAGTATATGCAAAAGGGGGCCAAGTCTCTACTTGTAGGCTTTTCATGGATGTTTATACAATTAACAAGTCAAGTAAATCTTTTGCAAACATTTCCTGTAAAGCAAAGAGCAAATGTATTTTAAATATCAGAAACATTTATCAAACAAAACCATGTTTCAGTTATTCCATGCTTTTCTCAAATCATGCTAGATTTTTACAACACTTAAATTTTTTTAAAGCAAAGATTTAAACCTGACTGTAAACATTTTATATAATTTACTCTGGTTCTTTCTTAATTGTTAACACTTTTTCTAAAAGTCCATATACTTCTCCGTTCACATTATGCTGAAGGGACACCTTATTACCTAGATGGCTATTATAAGGGTTTCTCACATCATGAAAAGGTATTTTACATTCTGCGATGGGTGATAATTCTTTCTTGAATGTGACAGCTGTTGAATTTTCTGTAAAAGATGGCTCACTCCAAATATTTTTGCTATGTGCTTCCTGGATATTAGAACTGCCTCCTTTTTGTAACATGTAATACAATATTGGATTGGTTTTTGTCAGTCTTGGGGAGTCTCTTTCATGTTCATTTTTGTCCGTATCTGTGATGACCCATTTGATAGGCCCCTTTTCACTAGGTACATGGCATACACTAAACTGGTCACAATCATGTTTTGATGATGCTATACCTCCCAAACGTTCAGTGAAGGGAGAACTGGCAGGACTCTGCATTGTGACTGAATACTGAAATGTTCGGTGATCCAAACAATTGGTTTGTTGGCCAGGATTCCCCATTAGAGAATGCAGTGAAGAGGTACTATTTGTTAGATTATTTTTGCCTCCTTTCTTTTTTCCATCAGTGACTGATAAATTACTCCTATGCTGAGACAACTCTTTTTCACAATTTTCTGAAAGAAGCAGTTGTTTCAACACATTAAACCCTTTGTTTTCTCTAGGCCAACTCCTATTCTCAGATTCATTGTTTGAACCATGACCTGAAGAATACTTTGACTCAGCATCAGTTCTGCTAAATTTCAGTTCTTTCTGGTTAAGCCCAGGCCCATACATGGCTTCTGGAGAAGACTTGCGATTGTTTGCAGAATCAGATGACATGTTACCTTTGCTACTTTTTAGTATTTTTAAAGGACCTTCTGAAGGTTCAGAATGAAGTTTTCTCTTCTTAGGTACTGTGCTGTGAGTCTTTGATTCCACAAATGTCCGTTCACTGTTTCTAGGACTTCTGTCTAGACCATCTGGAGAACACCCATCTTGATTCTGTCTCAGTAATCGACTTAGTAGACCATTCTTTGCAAAAGAAAAATCTTGAGGTGAGAGGGGGTCTGGCTTAAATTCTTCTATTCCTGGAGAAGTAGCTGTGTTTCTCTCTAATGAATTAGTGATTCCCTGAAATTTCTTACCATCACTTTCCCTTATATGCTGTGCATTTGGATTCTGAAGGACACTGGTTTCCTCAGAAGGCTCAGTTTTTATTTTCACGGTCAATATTTGTTCATTTGAAGCCTTTTCTGTCTGGTCTGTTAAACTGTCTTCTTTTGAAATCATCCTCTCTTTTATTTCATTCATACCTTTGTTGGATGTTCCCAGAAGCAGTTGGAGGACAGTGCGTCTTTCAAGCAGATTCTGGATTTCTGTACTAGGAAATCGTTGCTCAGTAGGCACAGACTGCTTATTCAGTATTTTGTTTTCTTCAAGTGTACCTGATTTGTTAGTAAGCAGGGAGCTATTCAACCCATCTATCAATCCTAGTGGTTTATCTGTGTTCAGAGTAATAATCTGCTTTCCTGTTTGCCTTTGCTCATCCATTGACATGGAAGACTGCATCCCACACTGAGCTAAATTCTGCAGTAGTTTGCTTGCACTAAAAGAGGAAGATGTTTGTCCAGTTTCATTTCGGTTAGGCTTAGCTCCTCGAAGTTCTCTGTGTACTGTCAGATCCACCAAGTGTTTAGAAGCTGGATTAATTAGTCTTTCTGGTTGTATGGTACAAATGTAGGGCGGTGGGCTATGTTTGACCAATAAAGGAGAATGATGTGAAAGATTGATGGGAGAATCTGCTTTTGATGAAGTCAGTAAAGGGGGAGTGTTTATTGGAGTAATTCGATTTACACAACAATCAGTCCCAGCAGTTTTGTTACCCAATGATAAATTAAATTTTGATACATCGTGTGAAACTATTATGCCCTCATTTTCTGCATTTTTCTCTGCACTGTCTTCATTTTTATGGCCCAGCAATAACTGAAGCAAAGTTACTTTCTGATGTGGATTCAGTTTAGTACTTTTAGTGGAGTCGTTCTCTTCTGTATTCTCTATACAAGGAACTTTTGAATCCCAGTTGTGAAGCAAGGATTGGTTTAAATTGTCCAGAGAAGCTGACTGCCCAGAATCTGGTTTATTTGTTTTCTGTTTAAAAGACAAGTCTATAGGAAGACAATTGGAATGAGAACTTTCATTATCACTACTGTCATCTTCTGTAAAACTAGGATTGTTATCTGAGTAATCATCAACAGTGGTTGGTGTACTACTCTCCTCAAAAATACCTGATCTCTCATTTTGCTCATACTCCTTACTCTGCTTAGTAGCACTGTGATTCTTAAGAAGGTGCAAAAGTAAGCTACTATTTGAAGGTGGTTTCAAATGATTTTTTTCCAGTGTGGCTTTGTAACTTATGCTTTTAGGAGATGAATGAATGATGCCTATGGAACCCTGAAAAGGAGTTCTACTGCTTTTGCAGGTTACTGATTTGGTTGAAGATTTTGTCTGACCATTCAGATGGCTTTCCATCTCTTTTGTCAGTTTGAAATGGCCAGAATCTTTTGGAGCACTTTCTTTTAATCTTGCCATTGCCACAAGCCTCTCACTGGCAATTTGATTTGCATTTTGTGCTTTTAGAGCATGTTCCCTGGAATACTGCTGCAAATGAGCTTCACTAGAAAGGAGCAAAGCTAGCTGACTACAAGCTACACTGGGTTTGGGAGATGTAGCAGGACTAGATCTTTTTTCCACCATGCTTGCAACAGCTTGTAATCTTGCAGCACAAGACAATGGCTCACTTATAACCTTGGTAGCACTCTGCCCTGTATGTGAAGATTCTATAAATCGATCTTTTGCCAAATTTGTTGTTAGTTCTGGCAGACAAGTCTCCAATTTTTCATCTTTTCCTTTGCTCTTCTTCAAGAGAGTTTTCAAATGAGTGGATGCAGCACCATAGCACCTTAAATCTTTCTCCACTTGTAGAGAATCATGGCTGAGGGAATATCCTTGCTCCTTGAGGCTCTGCCTAATCTGTTGTGACAAAGCAACACTCTGCAGCCTAGAGCTAAAGGACTGAAGCAAAGACGCCAGTAATGTGCTATCCTGTTTCCCTTTAGGCTCATTTTCAACCATGCCAGCTAACAAGGTTTCTTTTTTTCCATTTAAATCCACAATCGAATCAGACAGCCGTCTTCTTTTTGCCGCATTCCAGTCTTCAGAAGACTGTAACAGTCTTGCTTTTTTGTGATGCAGCATTCCAGAACCTCGATATGTATGTGTGTTAGGAACTGGACCATCTCTCTGACAATTGGGAGATGTGTTTCCAGAAACCTTGAAGTTTTGATCCTCTGAACCTGGCCCAACAGGCTTTTTGTCAACCACAGAATTCGAACCTCCTGCTGCTTGATGCATTAGTAATCCCTCTAGGTAAGTTAGAACAACGGAATCCTGGTGCATCTCAGAGACAAGCTCTTCTCCATGAGTCATGTTCAATGCAAGTATCCACAAAGGCTCACTTTTTATTCACTTTAATGATGTTTATTATAAATGAACAAAAATTAAAGTTAATATTTGTCTATAGCCTTCTACAAAAAATTGATGTGAAAAACAAGTGCATTATTCCAAGCAGGATTCTTCCAAAAAATATGTTGATGAGTCAAGGTTCCAGCTTTATCCATCTTTTTTTGTCATACACTTATGTGTTTATGAAAATGATCCACACGGATTATTCAAAACTTGGCTGTAGAGAAAAAATATCCATGTTCTTCCATATTTCTAGGAGACAGGTTTTTTCCCCCAATCATTTATCATCATATCAAGCATGCTTGACTCCTATGAAGTAAAAAGAAAAAAAAAGTTAGCCAGAGCATATCTAAAATTAAATGTATTCATGTTAAAATATGGGTGTTTCCAGAGTTCTGTACAAAATCACTCACCTAGCTAAACCTGTCTGAATATTGTAATTTATTTTGTACTTCATTTTCCACTACAACATTCCTCTAAAGTCCTCATCTCCCAACCAACCCTGGATGACTGATCGTTTCAGCGATAAAATCCCAAAAAGTTGAACTACATGACATTTTTTGACATAGTAGAAAACAACTCACATAGGACTGAGGAATAGGAATGTTAAGCGTATCCATACACAGATTTTTTAATGGCAAATTACAGCAAATGTAATGCTTTGTGTAGTCTGTCAGTTCAGGATATGCTGGAACAGCCCCCCCCCCCCTCAGGCCAGAAACACCAAACTCACAGTGAAACTCCAAGTTTGGTGAGGATTGGATTTAGGGGGGTTGAGTTACAGCCCCCCAAAGCAGGTTGCCCCCATGAAAGTGCTCTTTTAGGGAAATCACAGCCAAAGGTTCAGGAGTGTGTTGAACACCCCCCCCCCCCTGCAAGTTAGAGATATCAAATTTGCAGTGGATCTCCCTGGGATGGCCCTCTACCTGTCCTCCAAGTTGCCTGCAGACTGGCATTGGGAGGGAAGATCCTAGGGTCCAGTGTGCAAAAGGGGAAGGAGTCTGTCAAATGCCCCCCCCCCCGATAGAGGCATCAAAGTTGCAGAAGAATGGCCCTCTACCTGGGATGGCCCCTCTACCTGTTCCCCAAGTTGCCTGCAGACTGGCATTGGGAGGGAAGATCCTAGGGTCCAGTGTGCAAAAGGGGAAGGAGTCTGTCAAACGTGCCCCCACAGCTAGAGGTATCAGTCACAGCAGACTTCCCTGGGATGGCCCTCTACCTGCCTCCAAGTTGCCTGCAGATTGGCATTGGGGGGGAAGATCCTAGGGTCCAAAGTGCATATGAGGGAAGGAGTCTGTCAAAAGAGCCCCCACAGCTAGAGGATTCGAAGTCACTGTGGACCTCCCTGGGATGGCCATCTACCTGCCCTCCAAGTTGCCTGCAGATTGGCATGGGGGTGGTGGTGGGAGATTCTAGGATCCAAAGGGGAAGGATCATAGAATCATAGAATGTTAGAGGTGGAAGGGACCTTGCAGGTCATTTAGTCCAACTCCCTGCACTCTGCAGGAGCACAGCTGAAAGATAGCCCTACATACCTACAACATACCCGAAAGATGGTCGTCCAGCCTCCGCTTGAAAACGTTCACTGAAGGAGCATCCACCACCTCCCAAGGCAGACTGTTCCACTGCTCAACCACTCTTATAGTTAGGAAGTTTCTCCTGATATTTAGCTGGTAACGACTCCCTTGTAATTTCCACCCATTAGATCTAGTCTTGCAATCTGGAGCAAGACAGAATAGATCTGCTCCATCTTCTACATAACAGCCCTTCAAATACTTGGAAGACTGCAATCATGTCCCCTCTAAGCCTTCCTCTTCCCCAGGCTAAACATACCCAATTCTTTCAGCCTTTCCTCATAAGACTTGGATTCCAACCCTCTCACCATCCTGGTTGCCCTCTTCTGGACACGCTCGAGCTTGTCAACATACTTCCTAAAATGTGGTGCCCAAAACTGGACACAGTATTCCAGGTGAGACCTGACCATAGCAGAATACAGCGGAACTACCACCTCCCTTGATCTGGACACAATGCTTCTGTTAATGCATCCTAAGATTGCATTAGCTTTCTTCACAGCCACATTGCAATGC